ATGGGTTTTGATGATGATATAAATTATAAATTTCAAACTTGGTTGTTAAAATCAGAACGTTTCCTACGAGTATTGTGAGATATGTGGTTTCCAATGGCCTCTGATAGAGTTTGAAAATGCTTGGAAAGAAAAAAGTATTAATGAAAAAAATTGGAAACTTTTGTGATTTATGTAAAATTTTTGGTTTAAGGTGGTGTGTTCATTTGCATAGTTGTTAGAATCATATGATCAATTATCCGGTTTATCATGTTTGATAAAAAAATTGAAGGGAAAAAGAAATGATCATTTTCCAAAAACAACAACAAATCAGTTATTTTCTAAATGCAAATACCAAACAGCTATACAGTTTATCTAAATCAGGGGCAGAGTGGTCATTTATCCAGAAATCAGTTGTTTTCCAAACGCACAAACCAAACGGTCAGCCAGTTTATCTGGATCAGTTGGAGATCAGCAGCTTATCTGAATCAGCAGTTTATCAGCATAAGCTGGATAAGCTGCAGCTACCCCAAACAGACCTAAGTTCCTGCCTCCTCATAGAGCAATTTATAAGGAAAACTCGCCTCCTTGGCTTCCCAACCATTCATTCTATTTTCATGACTTCTCGCTTCATCTCCTTTTGTTCAATTTTCTCTCCCGCTTTGATGAGTATCGCGACTCTTCACATCCTCTTCCTCAGTTTCTTTCGTTTCTTCTTCTCCGAGTAACTAAAACGTGAGAACGAGACGCTACAATCTTCCCCATTTACAAAAATTTCGACCTTGAAATTTAAAATAGACCACAAGTCATATCTTCTTAACCAGTTTGACATGATCTATTCATAAATTTTTTATTACTCTCTTCTTCTATTTTTTTTCGGGTGTATCACTATGTCTGAATGGATATAATTATTACTTTGAGTTAACATTAATTTTTTATTTTTATGATTATTAAAATTTTCCCATAATTATCATATTGGTTCTTTCAACCAGATTTCATTTATTAATCCTAAATTTTATGCTCTGATACCACTTTTGTCACGGCTCAGATTGACGTTTGAAATTAACCAAGGCAGGAATAAACAGTCAGACAGTGAAAATTAAATTTTCTGTATTCATCTGTAATTTAAAGAATAAAAGAGTCGCTAATCAAATTAAATTAAAGAAATATAATTAAATTTACTTTGTTACTGGTTGTCTATGTCATCTATAAATCACCTAATTAATCTAAAAAGATAGTTTAAAATAATAATGAGTTAAACAAGTCCATACTCTTAAACTACAATAATACAAGAAAAACAAAAATAATATGTATATCACTTAAGTTTTTAATAAAATAATATTAACATTTAATATGTTATCAATGAATCTTACTATATTAAGAACATATCAATATTATTTCATATGTGTACAACCGTCACAGAAGCACCGTCTAAAAATTTTACCAGCTAGGGTACTTCAATATCAATATTTTTTTCTATATACGTGCACAAGTATCTTTATGTTCCCTCACTAGTACATTTAATGGGTGACTCCATCATAGTCAAGCATGCACATATAAGCATATTATAAAAATATTATATTTTTAATAATAAAAATTTCATTCTCATTTGTCTAACAGTAAATATTATTATACAAAGATTAAATAATAATTCAAACAAAGCTGAGCGTACAAGTAATTCTTACAATATGAATAAAATTTATTAAACCATAAATAATGGTATATAGTACTATAACGGTAACAGTCGGTCGACAAGAAATAAAATATTATTATAACAAAATAATATGAATATTCACCTCGATGTCGATCAAATTATTATTTGATTAGCCTTAACGTCAACTTTTCTAAAAATTAAAATCTTAAAATAAACATGATATTTATATTACTAAAATTTAATTTATTTTATATACACAAATTTAATAATTTATAATATTTTAATTAGTTGTTATTTAAGTATAAAATTTTCATTATTTTATTTTATGTAATTGTATTTAAATTTATTATTATTATTATTATTAATCAATTAATTTTAACTTTATTAAAACATACCTCATTGAATTTAAATTTATTATTATTATTATTATTATTAATTAATTAATTTTAACTTTATTAAAACATACCTCATTGAGCCATAATCAACGCAAGTGGCCCTTCCACCTTCATCGTGCGAGGCTCTTCCTTCGATTGAACTTCAAATGTAAGCGGCCTCAAACTTCACTCGTCGCCTCTTCCTCCTCTATGCGACAGAGATGTCGCCTCTTCCTTCGTGCGCTTCGCAGGAGAGCTCCCTCTCCACTAAGTCGAAGTGCTCAGCCTCTTTAAATCCTTCGGTCACGACTCCACACTGCAACGCAAACACTCAGCGCCTCTGTCCCCCACTTTTTTCTACCTGCTCAACAGAGATGTCATTGTCTGTCGACGTCGTCACCTCCAGCTATATATGGGGATGCCCTAATTTGTCTTTTTCGTCTCTTGCACTTTTCGTTTGACTCACCCTGTAAGTGACCGCCCCCTCATATGGCAATTTATAAGACGAACTCGCCTCATTGGCTTCCCAACCATTAATTTTAACTTTTCGACTTCTCGCTTCTTCTCCCTCTCTATTTGGTTTCCCAACTCTCCATTGTCTCTTCCTCAATTTCTTTTGTTTATTTTTCCCCCGGTAACTGAAACGGGAGTACGGGACATTCAAATGCATAACATATAGCTAAACCGCTTAAAGAGCAAGGATAAGACCATCGAGAGTAAACATATCCCAATGAGAATTCTGATGATAAGCAATACCAAAGTTCTAGGAATCTGATTTAGGAAGCCACTTGGAACACATATATTGGCTAAAGTAAATACACCATAAATTTAGTTTCATAAGGTCTGTTCTAGTTATCGGAACCAAAGATAATTTTGAACCGATTGTCAAAAAGTACATAGCCTATTCATTACGAGTCGAATATGAGCGAGCCCAGGTGTGTTTGGCTCGTTTACTTAACGAGTCGAACACGAGTTGTTCACGAATAAAGAGTTATTTTGACAACCCTGATGTTAAAGGTTGGGAGAAGATATAAAAATTATAGTTTATATTAAAACATCATCTAAATCTAATTTAATAATTTTTATTCTATTTTCTTAGCGAACGAGCTGAACACGAGTCCGACACGAGTTGATTGCGAACAAAGAGTCGTTTTGACAGCCCTAATCAAAAGGTAATAAGCAAATAGGCGTCTTTTAGCCTGCACCGTGTTCATATATTTTACCTCTGCTTTCATAAATGCTACCAAATATATATATTTCAATATAACGCATAAAAAAGATACTTATTTGCTTTAGGGGTTGTTTGGTTGATGGTATTCTGGGCATACTATTAAGTGAAATGAAAGTCGTTTTAAAATTCTAGCAATGTAAATTTAAAATTATTTCTTTAGTTTAGCTTTGATGTATTTAGATTTCATTTGATGTGGGTGAAATTCAAATACACCACTTGTGAAAAAAATTGGTCATAGTTGCTTGCTACTCTTCACCGCCCATTGTTGTCACCAGTCGCTATCACTACTCACCAACCCCATGTTGCATGTTACTGGTCACCGACATCCCATCATTGCTAGCAATTGAGTTTCATGTTGTACTGGTAGTGTACTCACCCAAACATAAAAAACAACTTCATGCACTTATAATATATTCATCCAAACAACTTCATTGATTTTTCAATACATTATATTTATTTCAATGCATCACTATTTTAGTAAAACAAACAACCCCTTTGTTCATCAATGGTTTGACATTAAGAACAAATAAAAATAAAAAACTAAATTTCCAATCAAGCTAACAATTATGTAAAAATGGATACGTTTAAGCTCAATAATAAACTACGTTGTCATGAGGAATAGGTGAACCATCATATTTACAAGCAATTATTAGGTGTGGATGAAGTAAGCATGCGAACTTTAATACAACATAGTTTCATTGGTTGTATTCATGAATACAATCGATACAACCATGTTGTCAATGCAACATAGTTTCATTGGTTGTATTCATGAATTGTATTCATGAATACAATCGATACAACCATGTTGTGCTGAAGTACGCATGCATGCAAATTTCACACCCAATAATTTTTCCATATTTGTAGAGTGCAAACATTATTTGTCTCAAAAGAGAGACATTGAGGGAGATGGAAGGTCATCCTCCTGGCTCAAGCTATTAAATCAATAAGACCTCAAATGGCTGTCATAACAAATATAAGTTTCAACTTATACCCTAAAACCGTAATAAATTTTATTTTACGACATATCCAAACCAGAAGGCAATACCGATTATTGAACAAATTAGAAAAAAAATCAAAATGTAAATTATTTGTAAAAGTAGTTAAAATACTAAAAACAAAAGCTAAATTGAGGCGGTGTTTTATATAATAATTTAAATAGGATTTAGTCATGAATTTAGCGTAAATCCAGCTAAACATCAAAAAAATAAAAATTAAATCTAACGCTCTGTCAAATCAATTTTTTTCACGTTTCGTCTTTTCTTCTAGTGTTCCGTCTCTTTTAGGACATAATACAGATTTAATAAGCTCAATCATGAGATGGATATAAGAATTTCTTTCTGTTGTCGCTCGCGAGCTCATCTCCATCGCAAAGACTATCAGATTTAATGGATTTGAGAAATCCCATTTAAGTTAAATTCATGTTGCAATCAAACAACGCCTAAAGGATAAAACCATCAATAGCACCCAAAAAAACAAAACTTGATTTATAGATTAAATCTATAAATGGCCAATAAATGTTTGGGTTATAACAAAGGCAACTGCTTCTTAAGCCATAATTAAATTGAATGCCAATGCAAATTCACTGAAGGGTTCTTTGCATGACAATTTTCAAAATTTAAGCGCAGGTTAAACATAGAGTAAGAAAAATATTTTGTGTCTGTCGTACACAGACTTATTTGATTGCTTTTAAGATTACTAAATTTCGGAAATTACTATTTTGTGTTTAGTTGAAAGTATTTACAAAAAAAAATAATCTGAAAGTTACCTAGGGCACTCGACGGTAGAAGTTCGTCTGAAGTATGGGGACCGTAGAGGGAACACAACAAGCGGAAATTGACGGCGAGACCCACAGGCAATCGGCGAGCGGTAAGCGACCGGAGAGTCGGAGACCCTGTCTCGCCGATGAGGAAGAACTTCGCGCTAGCGCTATGAACTGGATTGCAGGCGATTCGAATATTTTGGGTGCTCTCCATGGAAGATTTTTGTATATGTGTTTATGGAACATTTAAATTTTAATATTTATTTGTACAACATCAAATCTTGAACTCACATCAAAAATAAATAAATTTTTTCAACCATATATTTTGATATAATTGAGATAAATTTTATATGAATAAAGATTAAAAATTAAATATTGAATGTATAAATATGTAAAAATTTTGCGATATGTATGTAAATTGCTCATACTTTTAAAACCCTTATGTTTGATTTATTTCAAGATGCTAAATCTTAGTTCATCTAACCATATACATCATAGGAAATCAGGGTATTTACATACATGCTACATAATTTTTATGTATTAACAAATTTAACTAGTAAAGTTTGATGTTTATAGTTATAGTGTTTTCGTGGCATAATGATATTCAAACTTATTCATAATAAGGTGCAATTCACTTTACATAATAATAATAATAATAGTAATAGTGATATTTTTATGTGATGTTAAGAATTTGACTAGTATATAAGTAAATATTAAAGTTTAAGGGTTGGACATGTAATAGATGAGATTTGTGAGACATCTATGTAGATCTCCCAAAAAAAAACTTTACAAAAAATAAAGAAAGCATGGCATGCAAACATTTACTATTGTAGAAACAAGTTTCTTAGCAACTCAACTTTGAATCACACTAATGGTGATTATAAAAAATCACTTTTTTATTATTAATAAAATGATTTCAAATCTCTCAGTTAAATGATATAACTTGGTTAATTTGTTCTATTAATAAATGACCCCGGCCTAATCAATCAACTTGTTTTGAGTTCCATATGGTCTAATTATTATTTGGGTGAAGATTGAATTCAAAATATATGTTTATTATTTGAGATTAGGTTGTGTGGGTTTGTATTAGATAATATGAATTCAATAGGTCATATTTGTGTTAAATTGGTTGTGTTATTCCAATAAATTGCATAATCTATATAATAAATGTTAGAGGTATTGATTTAAATTTCTTGATCCATATAAAAAATGGGTTGAGTTTGAGTTAAGTAGATTAGGTTGGGTTAGCTTTGAGTTAATCCTGTGCATTGATCCATTAACATGAAATGACACCATTTGTTATATATATATATATATATATAT